CAGCGTTCGAACTTAGCAACCTCCCATGCCCGCAGTAGTATGGCCACTTTGCGCAAAGTAGTATTGAGCACGTTTCTGGAGAGGTTGGCGTAGGCACTGGCGTAAGTATATAAGCACCCGTTCAATCAACATCGTTCGCGTAGGCACCCTTCCACACCGCGTAGGCGCTCCTGCGTGGCAATGTATTTTTTTGTTTTAGGGCCTGGCACACAAAAAGCACTACTTAACTGTGGACACCGAGTTTTAGATCTGGAGTTTAAGAGGTTGAGGTGACTTTGACAGTTGACATGGCACATGCCAAGACCAAGCAGTATGCCAGCTTGAACGTGGATCAACGAGCCACTGGCTCACGACACAAAAGCAGTGTGTTTACGGTTTTCTATTCTTCCTACTTCGCATCAAGGCTTTTCATTTCCAGGGGTGTTGTGTATTGTTCCCACAGATTGGATCTCATCTCATCTCATACCTTCAGCGAACATTATGCCAGTTCCACCTCCGAGGTCAGTCTGCAGGTTGGCTTTCTGGTCTGGCTTTGTGGCCAGAGCCAGGTGTCATGGTGCCCCATTTGCACTCTTGGGAAGATCTCGAAAGGCAAGACTTGAGTCAATAGATCTCAATTCTACATAGTGTGGAGGAGTACAAGTGTACCAGCAAAATACTGTAGCTCACGTATCCTGGACCAGTACTTAAAATTATGATGTCAGGTGAGCTGAACTTTTTGGAGATGACAGGATTCATACAAACAATGACATCACAAAATCTTGTCAAAAGTCTGGCTAGGCATTCGGCTTGTGGGCGTAGACGCCCCATAGGCATTTTGGCGGACTGATTTGTCGGGACTTAAGAACCCCGTAGGCGAAGAATTGCGAAAGTGCTTCTTGTGACCCTTGGCCCACTCGTGCGCATTCTTTTTAGTAGACGTCAGACGTTTACAGTGGCGGCAGCAGCACCAGCGCGCCAGCAGCGCCAGCAGCCAGCAGCAGCAGAAGCAGAGTAAGGCCTGCTCAGGAGACGCGCTCGTGTGCCTGCTAGTAGTAGTAGTAGTAGTCGTCATCATCGTCGTCGTCGTAGTGGTGGTGGTGGTTTTTGCCGTTTTTGGCTCAGTAGTGGTCGTAGTGGTCGCAGTGCATGGTCGGTCGTAGTGGTCGTAGTCGCAGTCGCAGTCGCAGTCGCAGCAATAGCAGTAGCAGTAGCAGTAGCAGCAGTAGTAGTCGTCGTAGTAGTCGTGGTGGTGGTAGTAGTAAAGTAAAAGTAGTAGTAGTAGTAGTAGTAGTAGTAGTAGCAGTAGTAGTAGTAGTAGTCGTAGTCGCAGTCGCAGTCGTAGTCGTAGTAGTAGTAGTAGTAGTAGTAGTCGTAGTCGTAGTCGCAGTCGGAGTCGGAGTCGGAGTAGTAGTAGTAGTAGTAGTAGTAGTAGTAGATGTAGTAGATGTAGTAGATGTATGTAGATGTATGTAGATGTATGTAGATGTATGTAGATGTAGTATATAGATGTGGTATATAGATGTAGTAGTAGCGGCAGAGGTAGCCGCAGTGGGTATTGTGGCAAAGGCACCCTTTAATGACGATACCTTACACTCTAGACCAACATTTGAAAAAATTCAGTTGGCACAGTGACAATCAAAAGATCGATTGACCCACACTGGTTGAGCCGAAGGCCATATTGCAACTTTTTCACTGTCGAAGGGGCTGATTGACCAGAGGAGCAGGGTTGATCAATGTTGGTTAAATGCAGAACGAAGTCACGCGTGTTTTGTATTGGAGGTATGCTCACATTCCAGTGGCATGGGCTTCATCGACACTAAAGCAGGACTGCTCTCCAGCGCAGGATCGATTGGAGGTGATTGGAGGTTGTGTCCATGCCGACGTTGTAAACGATGAAGTAGGATAGTTTTTCGGTCTTTTTACCTACACATGCAATCTCACCTAATATAGGTGCCTCTCCAACCCAGGCCTTACTGTTTCCGTTTGATTTTGGTACGCAGTTGTGTGCGTGTTTCTTTTCTTGGGTGGTTCCTTCAGAGGGGACCTTACATTTGAAGGCGGGAGAGTCGAAACTGGATGTTCTGGGGGACCATTCTTAGTGAAGCACTTGGGCGGAGTGCATTTCAACCCTTCCTGAGAGGCAAAATAAGTCAAACACTCTTAGTTGTCAAACAATGGCTAATAGTCAACCTGCAATCCAAGCCTTTGATGGAGAGACATTTCAACCCAGACCTCACAGTGGCTGCAGCAAAGAATGCACACCGCAAAAAACATTATGTCATTTGCTTCAGTGCTGCAAGTGCTGGATAGCGCATTGGCAGGGAAGGTCATCAGGCAGCAGTACACCAAAGAGGCCGTTGGCAAGGTGCGGAAAATGTGAATCCAATGGGCGGATGTATCCGGCTTCTTTTTGTGTCCTGATGGTCGGCTGAAGCCGTAAGTATGTCATTGTAGATTAATAAGTATTAATAGCGCCCTGTAATTTTTGCAATCGATTTACACTGCAAACACTGGCGACGGGCTGGATACATAAACATTTCATGTCCGATCGCTTCGCAGGTGACTTTGTTGAACGGCAGCAGCCCCATGCTATTTGCTGGCATCGGTGGCGAGCTGATGCAGTGCGCCACGCCAATTCAATTAGCCAATTCATGTTGGTCCAAGTGGCCCGTCAATGGGTTAACCAATGGAGTGCTGCATCAGGTATGACACGCGATGCTTTGCGGATGTTCAGGAGAAGCCAAAGGCATTTTGCTTCGATTGAAATCCAATTGAGCGAGTTCAATGAATCCATGCGAGTCCTCCACTGCAATACTGTACTGTAATTATCTCTCGGACGCATTAGGCTTGGGTCAACCAGCTCTTGTCAAGGACTTGTCAACCCCACCGCCAAATATATTTTTCGTCAGTCAAGTCAGTGCAAAACCGTTGAATGAACGTGGCAGCCTCAGTGACCATCAGATCGCCAATGGTCAGGCCATCGCCTCATGGTCTTTGGGCTCACCAATCACCTCCCTGCACTGCACCGAAACGGGGAAAGGGCCCAGGCCCCAAAGAGTGACCAAGGGTCCAACGCGTGAAGTGATGATAGTGACGCATATGATAGTGTGGACCAAGGGTGACGGGTCACAGAGAGTTGCAGGGGAAATTGGAAGTGACACAGCTTCGCATGACTTGTGGGTGATGACATGTGACGACTAAGGAAACATGAAGATTGGATGAGAAGGGCTAAGGGTCAGCTACACATGTTTGAGACAATTTGTGACTTCTAAATATTTGGCCCAAGATGCTTTCACCTGGGAGCTGCAGGCTTCCTCCATCAACTTATACATACGTTACATGCATGCATCCATACCTACCTACCTACCTACCTACCTACCTACCTA